CCTTCTCTCTTTTGTTCTAAGAACTAATTTGCTTAGGCAACTATTAGTTTCATTATCTTAGGTGGCCATGTTTAACTCAAACTAATCTTTATTAACCTCGAAGAAAGAGAATTTACTGAGTAATTGTAGTTTAACGATAATACTTTTACTTAAGAAACTAATTTAATGTTTTCTAAATCACCTAAGTGCTCAATTCTCAACTCCAACATGATGAATTTGAATTCGAATTAATTTTCATCCTATTTTCCTTCATTTTCTCTAACTTTCTCTTCTACCACTCAGGAAGAATGTTTATCTCTAACTCTCTCCGTTCTCAAACCGTCTCTCTTTTATTACAGGAACAAATTAGCTTAGGCCACAGTTAGTTTCATTTTCTTCAGAGGTCGTGTTTAAGTCAAAGTAATCTTGCTTAGCTTCCAACAAAGAGAATTTTCGCAGTAATTGTATCTTAACGATATTAGTTTAACTTAAGGAACTCATTTCATGCTTTCTAGATCACCTAATTGTTCAGTCCTCAAGTCCAAAAGGATGAATATGAATTTGCTATAATTTTCATCCTCTTTCCATTTCTTTTCTCCAACATTATCTTTTAGTTCTTAGGAAGAAAGTTTCTCTCTAACTCTCTCCGCTCTTCTCCATCATTCTCTCCTTTCTTCAAAGAACTAATTTAGCTTAGGCAACTAACAGTTTCATTACCTTAGGTGGCCATGTTGAGCTTAGCATCCAAGAAAATGATTTTACTAAGTAATTGTTCCTTAATGAAATTATTTTAACTTAAACATCTCATTTAAGGTTTTCTAAATCACCTATGTGTTCAATACTCAAGTCCAAAAGTATGAATTTGAATTTCTTTTAATTTTTGTCCTATTATCCATTCTTTTCTCTAACTTTCTCTTCTATGATGTCGGTTTCCAATTCACCTTCTTTATTCTCATGAAGAGAATCTGTAAGTCCGACTGGGTTGATCACTCCTGACATTATGATTTTAGAATGGTGAACGACGATGTTTCCCGGAGTGTCCCTATAATATTCTGCACACAATTGCGAATTCAAATTCATCCTTTTGGACTTGAGAATTGAACATTTACGTGATTTAGAAAACATGAAATGATTTGCTTAAGTTAAACTAATATCGTTAAGCTACAATTATTCCGTAAATTCTCTTTCTTGGAGGCTAAGTAAGATTAGTTTGAGTGAAATTTGGCCTCTTAAGCTAATGAAATTAATAATTGCCTAAGCTAATTAGTTCCTACAATAAAAGAGAGAAGGTTCTAGAAGTTCAGAGAGAGTTAGAGAGAATCTTTCATCCTAAGTGGTAGAAAAGAAAGTTAGAGAAAAGAAAATGGGATGAAAATTAATGCGAATTCAAATTCATCTTTTTGGACTTGAGAATTAAGCACTTAAGTGATTTAGAAACATTCAATGAGTTTCTTAAGTAAAAGTAATATCGTTAAGCTGCAATTACTCTTTATATTCTCTTTCTTGGAGGTTAAAAAACATTAATTTGAGTTTAAACTTGACCACTTAAACAAATGAAACTAATAGTTTCCTAAACTAATTAGTTCCTAGGGGGAAGAAAGCAAAGCGTATCTCTCTAGATTCTAGAAAGAGAAAGCTCCCCCGTAGTGAAAATGAAGCACTGTTCTGGTGGTCTCCCTCACCCTTGAGGGTGAAAGTGTTCTGTGTGATTTTAATGTGGCTATATGGGTTTTTCTTGATGTTTATGGTGCTGTTCAGGCCAGTTGTCTATGGTTCCTTGCGGATTCCACATCCATGTCCATGTGCTGGGTTCATGGTTTAGTGTCCAAGAGTTGGGTTCATGGTTCTTTGCTTCTCTGGTTTCGTAGGAGAGAAAGAATTGCATGTAATGGTGGTCACTGTTGGTATTATTGACTTGCAGTGGTGGTTCGGCTATTGTGTGCACTGGATTGTTCTCGAGCAAGGGTGTGGTCTCTGCTTTGGGCTCTAGTTGTTGTTAACCTCTCTCTCTAGGTCTTTCTATAGTCTTGAGAGAGAGAGAGAGAGAGGGATGATTTTTTGGTGTGTAATCTGGGTTTGATGAGCTCCGGTTGTGGGTGGCGCCATGGCTGCTTTGCTTTGAAGATTTGGTATGTTTTGTGCCGTTGGTGGTCTTGTTGTGTCGTCGGTGGTACTAGGTTCAATTGATAGATAGCTGCATGCCTCATATGGATATGAATATAAAGAGAATGGGCCCGAGGCCGTTTGATACTCCTAATATGTTTGAATTGGGCCCGAGGCCGCTCGATATGTTCGAATTGGACCAAAGGTCGTTTTGGATAGAGAGTTGGTTGGACCAAAGGTTGTTTCGTATAGATGGACCTGAGGTCGTATTGTTTTATATAAGAATTGGACCTGAGGTTGTTTTGCATATATGGATATGATGTGTTGGACCTAAGGTTGTTTTGCTACTAGTGGCTATTGGTGTTCTGTTTGTTTTGCTTGTTTTTGTTTCATGCAGTTATGTGGTCTGTCTTTGTATAATTGCCCACATATCTTCCCCAAGTTTCCTTCTACTATCTTTGATGGTAGGGGTTACTTGGGGACAAAAAAGGATATATGGGCAATTTTGAGTTTTATTTATGTGTTCCTTTGTTGGGTACCCAACAACTGCAGGGATTGTTTACTTAGTTATTTTTGTAATTTCTATAGTAGTCGTCCCACTCCTTTCAAGGGTGAAGTGAGATTTGTTGTATTACCTAGGGTATGCCCTTTGTAAATGTGTAAACTTTTGTCTTTAATTTATGACCTACCTACCCAAATAAAAAAAAAAAAATAGTTCCTAGAACAAAAGAGAGAACGTTGGAGGATGGAGAGAGTTAGCGAAAAACATTCTTCTTGAGTGGTAGAATAGAAAGTTAGAGAAAATAAAGGGAATTAGGATGAAAATTAAAGGGAATTCAAATTCATCATCTTGGACTTGGGAATTGAACACTTAGGTGATTTAGAAAACTTTAAATGACATTCTTAAGTTAAACTAGTATGGTTATGGCACAATTACTAAGTAAAATCTTTTTCTTAGAGGCTAAGCAAGATTAGTTTGAGTCAAACTTGGCCACTAAAGCTAATGAAACTGTTTGTTGCCTAAGCTAATTAGTTCCTAGAAAAAAGGAGAGAAGGATGGAGAAGGACAAAGAGTGTTAGAGGGAAACTTTCTTCCTAAGAACTAGAAGAGAAAGTTAGAGAAAAGAAAGTGAAATAGGATGAAATCTATAGGGAATTGAAATTCATCCTTTTGGACTTGAGAATTGAATACTTGGGTGATTTACAAAACATGAAATGAGTTGCTTAAGTTAAACTAATATCGTTAAACTACAATTACTCCGTGAATTCTCTTTCTTGAAGGCTAAGCAGGGTTTGTTTGAGTGAAACTTGGTCTCTTAAGCTAATGAAACTAATAGTTGCCTAAGTTATTTAGTTCCTACAATAAAAGAGCGAAGGTTCTAGAAGAATGGAGAGGGTTTGAGAGAATCTTTCTTCCTGAGTGATAGAAGAGAAAGTTAGAGAAAAGAAAGGAAAATGGGATGAAAATTAATGTGAATTCAAATTCATCCTTTTGGACTTGAGAATTGAACACTTAGGTGATTTAGAAAGCCTTAAATGAGATGCTTAAGTTAAACAAATATTGTTAAGGTACAATTACTAAGTAAAATCTCTTTCTTGGAGGTTAATGTTTAAGTTAAACTTCGCCACTTAAGCTATTGAAACTGTTTGTCGCCTAAGCTAATTAGTTCATAGAAAAAAGAGAGAATGATGGAGAAGGATAGAGAGAGTTAGAGAGAAACTTTCTTCCTGAGAACTAGAAGATAAAGTTAGAGAAAAGAAAGGGAAATATGAAGAAAATTGTAGGGAATTCAATTTCCTCCTTTTGGACTTGAGAATTGAACACATAGGTAATTTCGAAAACATGAAATGAGTTACTTAAGTTAAAATAACATCGTTAAGGTACAATTACTCCATAAATTCTCTTTCTTGTAGGCTAAGCAAGATTAGTTTGAGTGAAACATGGCCTCTTAAGCTAATGAAACTGTTAGTTGCCTCAGAAAATTAGTTCTTAAAAAAAGGTTTCTCTATGGGTTAGAGTGAGAAGCTCATTCTTCTCTCTAGATACTTTCGTTTCTAGGGTTTTTCTTTCAATACTTCATTGAACGGCGTTGATCTTTATGGCAGTTACCAAATCAGATATAGCGATGAACTTAAATGATGTGAGAGAAACCGATGTTGTAACCAAGGTTAGTAGTGTGGAAATCAAATATCCCCAAATCGTTGAGTCCCGATTAGGGTATGACCATCAAGACTGTAAAACAAATAGTGAGGTAACCATGAGTGATTCGGGAAACGCTGGTAAAAACACAAACCCTAACCCTTCAATGGGTAAAAACGCCGTTAGTCAGTGTGAATCTAACAAACAACCGATGCATCTCCAACGTATCGTAGATCATTTTCAGAGGATAAGAGATCCAGTTTCAACTGATGATGTCCCAACATCGCCAGTCATATCTCTTCCTAACCCTAGATGGACCGTAGTTGTGGAGACTGAAGAGCTATTGTTCAAGAACAACCCTGACAGCCTGGATGTTGCAAAAATTAGGGCCGATGGGAAGAAACACGATGTAGGAACCCTTCAATCAGACCCATCTCTCAATCTTGAAGGCCAGAACTCAGACAGTGATTCAGAAAACTTTGGAGTGGGTGATTGTGATGTATCTCCTAACCGAGGAGGAGGGAACAATACCAGAGGTGGTAGATGAGGTAGGGGTTAAGGAGGAGGCAGAAGCCATGATAGGGTTGCTGAACCAAAGAAGACTTGGGCTGAGGTTGCTGCAACTACAAACCGTTCATGTATTCCTTTAAGGTATGTCCCTCCCAAAATAAATGATGACTTTGTTAGTGTTATCCTCCCGTCTAGGCCGAACCCGCTGGAAAAATGGGATGCATGTTTAGTTGGGTACTTTATTGATAAGGGCGTCGCGTTCAACTACATGAGGAACAGTGCCTTCAACTTATGGAAGAACAAAGGCCTTAAGGAAGTTCTTGCAAATGGGGAGGGTTTCATTTTCTTCATCTTCGAAAGCCCTACCTGTTGCAGTGAGGTCCTTAAAAGGGGACCATGGTACATTGGGGTATTCTATTTAATTCTCAAGAAATGGACTCGGATGATGCGGTTAACCAAAGACAAAATCCAAAAGGTGCCTGTTTGGGTAAAATTTTTCAATGTCCCGATGGAATACTGGGATAGTGATGGATTAAGTAGGATTGCAAGTGCAGTGGGCATCCCATTATTCATGGATCATCTTACTGATAAGGGGACTAGAGTCTCCTTTGCTAGAATCTGTGTGGAGTTGGATGCTAGAGCTAAACAACCTCCTTTTTTTTCCAATCTACTATGAGGGAAGAACAAGTGATTATTAAAGTGGAGTATTAGGGTCTCCCAGTAAAGTGTGAGCGCTGTTCTGTTTTTGGTCATGACACAACGAAATGTGTTACTACCCAAGTAGCTAAGTTGGTCAACCTCCAGAAAGAAACTGAGAACAATCCGGACCCTGGGTGGAGCATTGTAAAAGCAAAAGGAAAAAGGAAAGTGGGAGACCCAGACCCTACAGAGGAAGAAATGGGTGAACCAGAATCAAGAGAGGAAGATATGGTAAATGGAGTGGCTAGAGATGCCTCGGATGGGGATGTCCAAGTTTTAGAGGATGTGAATAATGTTCAGGTCTCAGCAAAGTCTAACAAATCTGAGCTCAGGAACACTGGAACAAGTGCGGGCACTCAAAATGCTTCAGGTGTAGTTGCTGTTAGCTCAGGAAAAACCATGCCCCCCAACTCAGATGGTCTAGCAGATATCCAGAATGAGCTTCTAGATATTGCAATGCTAGCCCTCCCTGGGAACTCAGAAATTTTGGAGAAAGTGAAGAATTTGTCTACTTCTGTGGAGAGCACACCAGACACTCCTGGCACTCTTCCTGCAAGATCCACCACCAGAAAATCCTCTGGCAAGGGTAAAGGCCAAAGGAAGAAAACCAGTTAACTCCTAGTTCTTTTTGGGTTGAGAGTTCCCAATGCCTTTTAAAATTGTTGCATGGAATATTAGGGGCTTCAATGACCCCTCTAGACAAAAAGAAATGAGAAAATTTTTGGTGAAAGAGGACATTAAAGTCATGGGTATTTTGGAGACTAAAATAAAAGCTCTTAATGAAAATCAAGTTTTCTCATCTTGCATGAGTAATTGGTCTTTTTTAACAAACTCTCAACCAAATAAAACTGGTAGGATTTTTGTTTTTTGGGATCCAGATTTTTGTTCTGTAAATTTGGTTAATTCCTCTGATCAATTTATCTTCTGTGAGATTACTGACAGAGCTCAAGCCAAGGTTTTCAATATGTGTTTTGTCTATGCTGAGAATAGCCATGCTCTGAGAAAAGACATTTTTGACTTTATGCTGAGGCTTTCTCTCCTTAACTCAGCTACCCCCCTTATTTTTCTAGGGGACTTCAATGCCATCAGATATAGTTTTGAGAAGTTTGGGGGGACATTGAACTGGAATAATGATAAAGAGATGTTCAATTCTTATATCCTTAATGCTGAACTTATTGATTTATCATATGGGGGTTGTCAGTTCACTTGGGCTAATGAGAGAACTAGGGGTGACTACATAGCCACAAAAATTGACAAAGTTTTGGTCAATGAATCTTGGCTTGATCATTTCCCTGCCTCCACTGCTATGTTTCTACCATTTGGGATTTCTGACCATTCTCCTGTTGTTGTCAGTGTTTCTGTTAAGGCCCCCTCTTTTAAAAAGCCTTTCAATTTTTTTGATTTTTGGGCTAAACATGAGGAATTCCTTCCTAAAGTTGCCCAGGACTAGAGTCAGTACATCCATGGTGTTCCTATGTACAGAGTTTGCCAAAAACTCCGGAGTCTGAAACCTATTCTTAAAACTTTGAATACAAAGGAGTTTAGTGATATTTCCACTAGAATCTTGGTAACCAAAGCTGATTTGGATACCATCCAATGGAAATTGGATAAGGACCCTAGTATTCAATCTCTTCAAAATCTTGAAAGAAATCTTCACAAAAAGTATGTGGATCTCAGTGTTGTTGAGGAAAGTTTAGCTCACCAAAAATCTAGGGTCTAATGGCTTGGTCTAGGTGACCGTAATAGCAGTTTTTTCTTTAGGTCTGTCAAAGGTAACATTAATAGGGGTAAGATTCTTAAAGTGGAGATGGAGGATGGTAATTTATCAACTAATCCCGAAAATATACATGATGCTTTTATCAAATATTTCTCGAAGCTTTTTGGTAATCCGTCTCAGGATTAGTATAGAGGGCTTGATAGAATCAATTCCCTTATTCGTTCTAAAGTCTCTAATGATCAAGCTTTTCAACTTGCCAAACCTGTATCTGATCAAGAGATCAATGATGTTTTTTGGTCTTTAAAAGCTAACAAGGCCCCTGGCCCTGACGGCTTTTCAGCTGGTTTCTTTAAGAGTGCTTGGAGTATTGTTGGTAAAGAGGTTACCTAGGCCATTAGATCCTTTTTTGAGTCTGGGAAGCTTCTTACTGAAGTTAACAATACTACCATTGCTCTTATTCCCAAGGTTCCTAATCTGGTTAAAGTGGGGAATTATAGACCCATTTCTTGTTGTAATACTATCTATAAGTGCATTGCTAAGATTATTGCTAACAGAATTAAAATCATCCTCCCTGATCTTGTTGACCCTGTTCAATCTGCTTTTGTGCATGGGAGGAGAATCTCTAACAACATCTTTTTGTCTCAAGAGATTATGAGAGGTTATCATAAAAATTCAAATGTTCCAAAGTGTGCCATGAAAGTTGACATTATGAAAGCGCATGATACTGTTAGATAGGAATTCATTATTGATATCCTCACTACTATGGGTTTTCCCCATAACATGATCTCCTGGATTAAAGCCTGTATGACTAGCCTTTCTTCCTCCATTTGTGTCAATGGAAGTCTTCATGGCTATTTCAAAGGGACTAGAGGTCTTAGGCAGGGTGACCCTATGTCCCCTTACCTTTTTGTTCCGGCTATGGAAGTCCTTGCCAGGATTCTAGATGAAAAGTCTAAACATCCTCTTTTTAAATTCCATTGGAGATGTGAGAAAACCAAGATTGTTAATCTTTGTTTCGCTGATGATCTGATGATTTTTAGTAAAGGGGATGTTAACACTGTGCAAATGATTATGGATGGTTTAGAGGAGTTCAGATCACTATCTGGCCTCACCCCTAATCCTAGTAAAAGCAATGTTTTTTCTCTGGTTGTAATAAGAAATTAAGGGATGACATTCTTCAAATTGCATCTTTCTTTGAGGGGAATTTTCTGGTCAAATACCTTGGTGTCCCTCTTATCACAACTAAGTTGAAAGCTACTGATTGCAAGCAACTTGTTGATAGGATCACTAAAAGGATTAGTACTTGGACCAATAAACTTCTTTCTTATGCTGGTAGGACCCAACTGATCCAAACCATTTTATTTTCTATGCAATTTTATTGGTCGTCATTGTTTATTTTGCCTAAGAAGGTTATTAAGGAGATTGAGAGTCTTCTTAGAGCCTTTCTTTGGTCTGGTATTGACCTTAGGAAGCACTGTGCTAAAATTGCTTGGGACAAAGTTTGCACTCCTAAGATGGAGGGTGGTCTTGGTTTCAAATCTCTTGAGGTTTGGAATAAGGCTGCCATTGCCAAACATGTGTGGTTCCTTTTCTCTGGAGGGGCCAATTCTATGTGGTGTCAATGGGTTAAATCCTATCTTCTTAAGGGGAAGTGTTTTTGGAAAGTCAAAACCCCTAGTGACCCTTCTTGGGTTTGGAGGAAAATCCTCTCTCTTAGGCCTGTTATTTACCCTCCTATTTGTCATAGAATTGGTAATGGTCAAAATACTTTCCTTTGGCATGATAATTGGCACCCTTTGGGTTCATTGTGGGTTAGATATGGTGATAGAATTTTGTATGATTCTGGTTTAAATAGTGAAACTAAAGTCAGTCAGATTATTGAAGGGAGTTCATGGAATTGGCCTTTTCCTAATTCTTGGGAGCTTAGGGATCCTGTATCTCATCCCAACAGTTGTCAACCTAATCCATTGGTAATGGATAAAGTGGTTTGGACTCTTAATTCTGATGGGGATTTCTCTGTCAAATCTATGTGGGATTTGTGGAGGTATAAGCAAAACATTGTCCCTTGGTACAAACTGGTCTGGGGGCCTTACACTATTCCCAAAGTTAGTTTCATTGTTTGGTTGGCTATCTTTGGTAGGTTGAATACTAGTGGCAGACTCCATCTGTTTGGCATCTCTTCTTGTACAACCTTCCCTTTCTGTTTAGATCCAAATGAAAGTCACTCTCACCTCTTCTTTGGCTGTACCTTCACCCATAGAATTTGGCATGCTATGCAATGTAAATGTAATATTCAATGGAATGATATGCCTTGGCCTGAGATTGTTGCACATGTCAACCAAGAGAGTAAAGGTAAATCTCTTAAATCAATCATTACTAGACTTTCTTTTCTCTGTACTTTGTACCATGTGTGGATTGAGAGAAACAATAGAATTTTTAGCAAGGAATGTAAACCTGTAGAGGTGATTATCAAATCTATTATGCTCATTGTGAGGGGTAGATTGCTGTCTGTTAGCAACATCCCAAATGCTACAGGTGATAACTGGTTGCTTTCTCAGTGGAACCTTCCCAACTCCATAATGAAGCCCCATTTTCATAGAAATGGGAGGGCTGCTGAGTGATATAAGTTTCTATATGAATGAGTTGAGTGATAGTGAGCAGAAATTGTGTGTTTACCTAATTAGCTGCTGCTTGTGTAGGTGTGCACCCATGAAGCTTTATTCTATTTGTGGGTTGAGTGTGGTGTGCTACAAAATTACCAACATATCTTTTATGCGTTGGTCCTATGGGTTGAGTGAAACTAGTACCTATATGCTTTTTGTGCTAATCAGTATATATATAGTAAATTTCTATGTGCAGGTTAAGGAAGCAATTCCCGAGTATGGTGAGGTCTTATATTGTGGGTTGAGTGATGTGAACTCAAACAATGTGTGCATCACCTTTGCTCTCCGGTTTTATGTCTTAACACTAAAATTGGGTATTGTTATCTCTGTGTTCTCTTGGCAAGACTTTTTTCATTGTCTAGGAGCAGCATATCAATAGTGTTCTATTAGGGATTGCTTTTCCGAATTGTTGGTGTCGTTGGTGAAATTTTTGCTGACATGTGTGGTTATCTGGTCTAGAAGAATGACTTCTACATGCGCCTTCTGGGTTTATCAAAATGTTCAAAAGCTGTCTTTCTTACGTTTCCTATATGTAATTACTATATATATATAGTTATTTTGCCTACCCTAGTGGGATGTACTAGGGATTATGGTTATTACTTTTTAGCTAGAATCTTTGTGTTGGTTCAGACTAATTTCGTGAGGAAGCATATGGAGCATGGGTATGTGACTTTTTGGGTTTTATTTCAAGACTTTGCTGCTTCAGAATATGCTGATTTTGACTGAGGGTTTCCAGATTGCAGGTTTCTGGCTACTGTATTGGTTATTTTTTGATGGTATGTCTGTCTGTCTTGCTTTTGTTCATTTCCTATTTCATTAAAATAGGTTATGAACATTCTGCATTTGTTTTGGTTTGTTCTTTTCTTTTTTCTTTTTTGTTTGTCCGTGTTTAGCTGTGGTTGGTCCTGGGGCTTGTCCCTTTGTTTGTTTTCCTTGCTTGGCTTTTTGGTTTCCTTGTACAGTTTCTTGGTAGGGCCTGGGGTTTGCCCCTTGTAATCTTGTTTATTTTCCTGTTTTATTTATGTCTTATTCACCCCCCCCAAAAAAAAAAAGCAAATTAGTTCCTAGAAAAAAAAAGAGTGAAGGTTCTAGAAGAACGAAGATGGTTCGAGAGAATCTTTCTCCCTGAGTGGTAAAAGAGAAAGTTAGAGAAAAGAAAGGGAAATGGGATGAAAATTAATGTGAATTCAAATTTACCTTTTTTTACTTGAGAATTGAGCACTTTGGTGATTTAG